CAAAGCCAGACGGTGCCTGATCATTCGCCTTTCACGTGTTTGGTGCATCCAGGCATGTCCAGGCAACGGTGGAGGCATGGCATGTCACCCAAGTATGAACAGTAGGGGGTCCTGTAGACTGCAGAATGTTATATAATACAAATCACATCCTTGGCAAAAGAAAGGGTAACAGTGTACCTGGACAAGCTATGACAGGCTCCTTTGCCGCAAGCCTTTGACATCCCATTCAATTGTTGGCTCAAGCCAAACACCGGCTTTGTGAGGATGTATGTATGGAAGCTCATGTTAACCAAAGCTTGCACCACTCCAGGGGCAATGCCAAGTCCCACTGCCCAATCGAGCCGCCCAAAAAGCATGTCCCTTTTTCACCACTGAACCCACACAAACCGCTCTACTGGCACCGAAGCGGCACGCCCCTGGCCACGCCATGTGCGAAGCCCCAGCAGGCGCAGGATGAGCCTCGCATACCCCACCTGGCGGAAGCAGAAGGAGGAGGAGGAGAAGGAGAATGACCAGACCGAAGATGGTCAAGAGCCCGGCCCTTAACGGCACATCAGCGTGGCCACAGAATGTGTTTTTCTCTTCCATGATGGGTCGCAGGTTGAGTTTTCATGGGTTTCCCGTCGCCCGTAGAGGATGCCACCTCTTAACTTCGCGTCAAATGATGCAAAGTATAACATACTGATCCAACTGTACTTGCATGATTCCATAATATTCCTCCCAGGTTCTTGCGACACCGACTTGTTTCTCCGCTTTTCGTTTCGGAAAGAACACCTCGCAGTTCCGCAAGGAATATAGGCCGCATCTCGTCCAGATGCTCCACCTTCAGCTTTGCCCAGGCCGCCCACCAAGAAGCCGCGGCGTGCACGCGAGACGCGGTACTTTGCGGCGCGTGGGCGCGTGGCCTCAACGCTGAAAGCCCGTGAGAGTCACCTCTTTCGGCCAGTGCGTTCCATTGGCGCCGTGGCTGATAGCTGCTTGGCTGCACGGCGCCAATGAGACGGCTTTAGGTGGTGTTGGGATGACCCAGAGTTGTTTGTGTGTTTGTGTTACACCCATTTGTTGTCAGAGCAGGGGAACTGTGTACTCTGTGACTGACCCAGTTCAACGAAGCTAGGTCACAGAGTGGGATATTCGGACTGATCATCCGAACGTACTGCGAACTTTTTAACAGGCTGTTTGCTGTTTGCCCTACTTTTCCTTTGGGGGAGCTGCCGCTGCCGCGCTTATGTTCCGCCGACCATTGCATTGTTCAAACGCCTACAGTTTGATGGACCCAGCACTCTTGCCGTTCTGCACTAAGTAACCAGTCAAGGAAGCTGCATCACGGACCACCACTTGGATTATCGTTTGAATGAACCTTTTATCGAAGGTGTGTACTGCTACGCTTTCCCACTTGACTGCGTAGTGTGATCCCCGCAAGGGGCGCTGAGACCATCCAGGGTTATCACTGCCGGCAATTGCTTGTTTGTGCTCAAGAAGCTTTTAAGCTGCATGACGGACTTTCACGGATAGCCTGCATGAATGCTGACGAGCTTACGGTACATTTCAGTCATTCGACTTAGCATGGAAAGTTCAACATTTTTCGCGCAGATTCCGAACTTCGCCCCCTTTTCAGGCTCGTTTTCCTGCCCCTCGGTTTCGTTTCTTTCTCTCCTGCCTTTTTGTTTCTCTTTCTAAGTTAGCCTTTTTCTCTAGAGGCTTTTTAGGTCTGTAACCAGGCTCTTTAGTCAAGGGCTATAAGTAGTCAAGTCAAGGGCTAAGTAATCACTAGGTGTAAAGCCTTAGTAATTTCCAAGCTGTCTACTGCAATGTTACCTTTTAGTGCAAGCGTGCGTGTGTCGAAGACACTGGATGTGCGCTGGTGAAATCAATCCGGGACGCCGGATTGACGTACCTGCTTGGAGAGAAACCTACGTAGAGCACAAGCTGTCTACTTCGTTGTTTCCTGCAGTAAAGGGCTAATGCAGCGGTGATGAACTTGGCTTTTCTGCACGTACGTCGTCACCTTGTCGTCCGCTCGATCGTTGGTTTCCTTACCTGTACCCTTAGGAAATGGTAACCTAGGCCGGCGTGTGGCACCGCTGTCACGTCAGTATGCATATCCATAAGTGTGTCTCTCCCAGTGAGAGTCCGGGATGGGCCCGTAGAGTGCCTCCCGTGGACCCGTCGAACGGGTGTCTGTCGTTATCTCCCCTGCCTGGAGATGTACGTGTCCGGAGCGGACAGTATAGCTGGCTCATGCCACAAGCTTAACGCCTCAACGTGGTCAGAGCGACCGAAGTACTTTTGAGGTTCATTGGAACCTGTCCCAATCTCAGGTGCACACACAGCGCTTACATTCAAACGAGGCAGGTCCCTAAGCGCTTCCACTGAGGTTTGGTTTCATCGGTTCTCGTCCCCTCTATTTGGTTCCCCTTTCATCCCTTCCCCTTCACACACTTTTGTTTTCTCTTTTCTTTCATGTCCTCCTGTCTTCATGTCTGGTCATCTCATCCTTTCCTTCGTTTGCGCGCACATTGGTCCCGGCCTTAGTGTGTACGTGCACTTCTACATACATGTAAACACAGGTTTCAGGTCGCCCAGGTCTTTACAATGAGGTGGGCTTCATCGGGTGTCCCTGTGCACTTTGTTCCCCTTTCATTTCAACCACACGCACCTTTGTCCCGTCTGTCCTCCTGTCATGTCTTCATTCTTTTGTCTCTTGTGCGCGCACGTGCACTTTTGCCCTCACCTTAGCTTTACGCCTTGTCTCGGGGAGGCGTGTGTGTGTGCCCCTTGTAATCGCAGGGATTCCGTTGAATTGTTTCTTCTCTTTTTCAGCAGGGGGTGCAAGCAGCCCATCCAGTCTTGCACCAACGAAGACACTGGATGTGCGCTGGTGAAATCAATCCGGGACGCCGGATTGACGTACCTGCTTGGAGAGAAACCTACGTAGAGCACAAGCTGTCTACTTCGTTGTTTCCTGCAGTAAAGGGCTAATGCAGCGGTGATGAACTTGGCTTTTCTGCACGTACGTCGTCACCTTGTCGTCCGCTCGATCGTTGGTTTCCTTACCTGTACCCTTAGGAAATGGTACAGTATGCATATCCATAAGTGTGTCACACCCTGTACCAAAGGGTCCCATTTGTTGTCAGAGCAGGGGAACTGGGCACTCTGTGACGGACCCAGTTCAACGAAGTTAGGTCACAGAGTGGGATTTTCGGACTGATCATCCGAACTTTTGAACAAGCTGCCTAGCCGCTGCTGCGCTTATGTTCCGCTGACCATTGCATTGTTCAAACGCCTACAGTTTGATGGACCAGTCGAGGGAGCTGCATCACGGACCACCACTTGGATGATCGTTTCAATGAACAATCTGTCGAAGTGTGTGAAAAGTTGTTGGGGTCACAGGGAACCTTTTGGTTTGTAGTGTTTCAGCAGGGGGCCATCCCTCTCACCATTGGTGGATGGCCAATGGTGAGAGCTGTAAACGTACCTGCTACTTTGAGTGTCTTGTTTGAATTCAATTGCAATCGAATTGTAGCGGCGATTCTCTTGTGAAGCCTCGCTCTTGTATATTTTACATTTCCCAGTGCATAGCAGTTCATTTCTGGAAGAGTTCCTTGGATTCCTTTCTGAAAGAACCCAGTAATTTTTCCGGACAGCACGCCCGCAGATTCAACTAACAGTTGAGCGTCAGACGGAGAGACGCTTGGCTGATTTCCTGAAACCTGGTTTACTCCAAGGTTTCTTCTCAGGCGGCCTCAGCAGGTACGACGCACGCATTATCTCGAGTGTGCCTGGCCTTTGCGCCAGCCCGGTCCGGGAACAGAGGTGTCCACAGCGGACAGAGCAGCCTTAGCGCAAACGTCAGTTAAGATTTGATGAATTACATGAAAACAAGCAGGCAGCCTTCGGGCATGGCAGGAGGTGTCCGCAGCGGACTTGAGCAGGCTTTACGCCACGAGATGAAACAAGTTCCCTAAGTTGTTCTAATGAGGTCTGGCTTCATGTGGTTTTGCCCTTTCATCTGTTTTCCCGTTCATTTGCTCTCCAGACACATTTTTCTCCTTTCATTTCATGTCTCTTCTGCCTTCATGTCCGGTCATCTCCTTTATTTCGTTTGCGCGAACATCAGTCCGGCCCTTAGTGTGTATCCGTGCACCCGTACATCAAATAAGTATTAGGTGGCCCAGGTTTTTGACAAGGAGGTGTCCCTGTGCACTTGATTTCCCCCCCATCACAATCACATACCTTGGTCTTGTCTCGTCTTCCTCTCATGTCTTCACTTTTTTGACCCTTTTGCACACACTTGACTCTTTCCTTTTTCTTCCCTTCCCTCAGATTGTTTGCCTCCCAGCACGAGCGGCGTGTGTGTGTGTGCCAAGCCCCGTTCCAAGGGACACTAACCTATTCCACACTACTACGCTTGCAATTTTTGTACTGAAGCAGGGGGACATGGCGTGCGTTCAGGGACCGTGTCCAGCGAAGCTACCTCACGGGAAGTGAGAGCTGATCACTCTCATGTACCTGCCAATTTTTAACCACTTCAGTTCCATTCTTGTTCAAACATTCTGTTTTGACCGACTCCGCAATTTCCTTTAGTCATGGTCTAAATTGCAGTAACACTAAAGTGCTAATGTTCGCTCCGAATTTCTGAAACTACGCTCTACGGAGCACTCTTCTCAAGTGTGTGTAAATGTTGGTTTTGGTTTGTGTTTTGAGCAGGGGGCCACCCCTCTCACCATTGGTGGATGGCCAAAACATTCTGTTCATCGCAGGCTGTGCCACCCTTTCCGTTCCCTCACTCTTTTCCTCGGGGAACCCACTGTCTAAGTGTAGGGCCCTGTGTGAGGTCGATAGATGGTGCAACATAAAGGCCGTGAAACAAATTGCTAAATGGCTAGGGTGCTATCAGCTATCAAATTGTTTTGTTCGGCCCGGGCGGTTGGAAAGCGCGTGCATTCATCAATTGAATTTGGTGGTGTGAAGACATGGCAAACCCAGCGCCATCCAAGGCCTGCCCTTCTCATTGCAGACGTTGGGTGATGCCTCCTTTCTCACCACCAGCGTGGGCCGTGGTTTCCAAGTCTTCGAGTGCGAAAAACTGCGCTTGGCGTACATCGGACCGCGCTTCAACGAGAAGGTGCGCGTGGTACGGTTGATGTCCTTTTTCTCCGTTCAAGGCATGACTGTTGGAAAGGACCAAGGTTGCAATGCAATTGGATGCAATCTCTCATTTTGAGTCCTTCAGGAAAACTTTAAAATACGGCCCCAGTGAGTCCCTTCCGATTCATTTGGGATTAGTTCACCAGTTTGAAGTCGTGCGACTTCGAAGCGACTTGGAAGACACTTTGAAGACACTGCTGCAGAGTCATATCCTGGAGCCTTCCTCACCAGCCAGGTCCGCGCGCTCATCACTGTGGGGGAAACCATCATCACTGCACTGAAGCAGGACGGGGCATCCTTATGTTTACGTCCTATGATCTTTCGCGTGTATACATATATATATTTTTCCCCAAACAGTTCACTGTTAGGGGTTCTCAATGCTTTAAAGAATGGTCGCCTTGGTGCTGGATGGTCTGGTCGGGTTCCCGGCTGGCTTGTCTCCCGCTTCCTTTCATTTGTTTCCCAGTTCTTTTCATGTGTCTCCCAGTTCTTTTCATTTGTCTCCCAGGCTGGGTGCTTGTGGT